CAAATAAAGTCATTTTATGAGACATTGTTGTAGATTCTTTTTTTAAGGTTGCTTAGATTTCGATTAAATTTCTTTACATAGTTAAGCATTACATTAAATTAAGAGGCACTCAGTCTTTTTTAAAAATTAATCTAAAAAGAAATTCCGACGGAGACAAAGTTAATTTTCCCCCGAATGACATTTATTACTTTTTAATGAGCAATTTTCCACGAAGAAAATGCCCCACGTGGCTGTCATTAACTTGGCCCCGAAAAAACCTGGCCCACAATGAAGTCAGTAAAACTTGCAACACTTGCACAAAGTTTTCAAGAACTTCGCAATGAACTCGATAAAATGGCCAAATCATGGTGGGATTTCAGGACATCCTCGACAGGATTACCACAGCAGTCATAAAGGCAAATGATGGCTAAATAAAAATGGTAAACTACAGTTGCCAACTCATGCAAACCTCTTGTCTTGTCTTGTCTTGCCCGGCCAGCTTTTAAATTACGCCTCCACTTGGGCCTGAGGTCAGAGGTCAGGGGCTGACAGAGGAGAGTGGGAATAGCAAGTGCCACATGGCCACAGACTGGGCTCCAAGTCGGGCTGCTGCGGTCTGTCCTGCCAAGACAAACTTTAACTTCAGGAAAACTTTGGTTTTTGCCAACATGTTGCGGCTCGAAAAATGTCGTCAGCAAGAAAACTTGGCTAGAACGTTGAGTTGCATTCAGCTCAAATTGTTGGTTAAGATGGGGAAATGTAATGATCATTTTACAATTTATATATATCATTTAAAAACTTAACTTGGGAAAATAACAATTGGTGTGGCAACGAGGTTAGAAATGCTTGATTATTCAGAATTCCATTGTTAGCTTGAAAAGAATTGATTATTTTTTAACAAAACAACATTTCCAACAATATAAATGTAGAAAAAAAAACGATCAGTTCTTTGTCAATTTTAAATCCATTGGGCAAAAACTCTCACAGCTTTTCGCCACAGCAATCTTTTTTTTTTTTAACTGCCAATGGGAAAATCCTCTTCCGTACATCATGCATTGATAATTTTCCCTTTTCAGAATTGCTCTTAGCAGAAAGCATTTCGTATAATCCTTTGTGCATATTAAAAGCTAACGAAACTAATTTCGCGTTTGTTTTTCTGGCTTTTACTGGCAAGGAGGGATTTTCAGCTAACGTTGAGTGGCGCATAAGTGAAGTCGCTAAATAAATCAGTTTATGCAACTACAAAATGGAGTTTGTAATGCAAATCCTTTTGCCGAGCGAAAAGCATTTTCCAGCAGCTCATCCCCACCGCTCGACTCCTTTTTTCGCCAGTTTGAGCACTAAAGAGACCGTGGGGAGAAATTAAGACAATAGTCGATCCGCTTCGACGCTTCGAGCACTCGAAGCGCAGCGACTTAACGCAGCCGGAAAAATCTTTTGCCATTTTCCCAACCGAGACTTTGACATCTTCACTTGCATGCGAAATGAAAATCTTGCTTTTTGCTAATTGGCGGATAGACAAACTTAAGTTTCGCCAATGAGATTAGCCCGGGCTGAAAGTTTCAAGTTGTCTTTAAGTTGGTGCAACTTTTAAGCAAAACTCAGAACTTGTTCACAAAGTTGCCATTTTTTACGAAGCATTCAAATATTCATAAATAAATGGGTAAGAAGGGGGTAGAAAATTGTTACGAAAATGCGGATAAAGTTTTTAGTGTGAAAATGTTTATCTGAAAACTTGTTAAACTTGAATAAACTTATTGTTTTTGAGAACTGTAAATTGGCAGAAATATAGACAGAAATTTGTAAAGAGATAGATTGATTACAAATTTAACTAAATTATATCCATTTTAATATTTTAAAAGGATACAAATTCAGGACTTTAAACTTATCAGGCTTATTCCTTTGTTCCCTTTTTTCCGTATGAAAATCTACAAGGTTTTTTCCAATCTGTGTAATCTATTCCTCCTCAGAAAATCTGCCAGAATAAGTCTATATTATCTCCCCCTTTGAAAATTTTGCAGAGTGAGCATCGCATGACAGAAAATCTTCTTACAGCCCCAAGGGCTGTCGGAGGGCACAACTAATCCAATAAGTTGCTCCCGCACTATCCTAATGAGCCATTCTATTTGGCTAACCCCCAGAGTTGAGCCTCGATCCCTTTCCTTCAGATAGTTTTCCCTGCCGACGCGTCGTTCGAAAGCTGGAACAAAAAGTTTTCTTCACCCGCTGTGCCGCCTTTCCGGCAAAGGCAAAAGTTACATTTAATGAACCATCAGGACACACAACTTCGGGCATCCTGCAGATGGAGAGCTGACAGCGAAAGGGGAGATCCCATGAAGTTAACTTGCAATTTTGCATGTCGCGCAATTAGGCAAAAGTTAAATTGCTTGTCATAAATGTAAAATTTGTAACACAAAAATTGACTTAAGTGAGTGCAGGCCGACGCAGGAAGCTTTGGCTCGAAATAAATTTAAGCGGCTTTTGAATTTAAATTGCACTCATAAGCGTCGTAACTCCTTGAGCTGTAAAAAGCGCTGAGCCACGCCCCCAGCGCCAGCAGCCCGTCCGCCCGCCCATAAAGATTATGAAAAGTCGTAAAAGGCCAAAAAATATGAATGCGATAGTCATAGTCGTCTGAGAGAGAGAGAGTCCTCCGTCTGAAATAAAAAAATAATATAAAATAGCAGACTCATGCAGAAAAGTCAGCGCCACCGCCGCCAACATTTTGTGACATTTTCCGCTGTCAGCACGCGGAAATTTTCGGGAGTTCCGGGAGAGCAAACTCTTGATGGGGTAGTGCACTTAAAATTTTAAATAAAAGAAAAAGGCTTGCAAATGTCTCCATTAAAATACCAAAGTTTTCAGTCATTGAAATGTTTTTAAAATGTAAATAAACTACAAAATAAAGACTATAAACTCTATTAAGTCACTTTTATATAATCTCCGTGGATAGGACTCCCTTTATTTCTGCCAGTGTCCTTGTGGTAGCTGCTAAGCTCTGGAGGAAGGCTTAAAATATGCCCCGCTGGCTCAACATTTTGTCATATTTTGCTGCTTAGCCGCTACAAGAAGCTGGCTTCATTATAGAACAGCTTGAACCCCGGCCCCTGCATAAAATATGAAATTAAAATGTGGCTGACAAAAAAAAAAAAAAAAAAAAAAACAAGGAAACCAGTGACAGGAAAAGTTAAAAAGCGTCGACAAAAGCGAAAAATAGAAACTAACTTGAAACAACAATTTTTGTTGACTTGTTGGTGGCTCTGGTTTAGTGTGCGAAGGGGGTAATGGCTCTAGGGGGAGCGTAAGTCACACCTGCGTCAGTGTGTTAGTGCAGGGGTTAAAGTTGAAACTTAATGTGTTCAGCTTGTACGGGCATTTTGCAGTCCCACAGTCAAGTCATGGTTAGTTGAACTTTACATTGTTGCCAGACACAGTGGTACTTCTAGGGCTTGACTTTGGGCAGGACAAGTTTTAAAAATTTGCTAATAATATTCAAGGAATTATTTGTATTTTTATTCTACGTTATGGCTTGGAGTTCATAAGAAAATCCAATTATAGTATAGTTTGTCCATCAATTGGTTGTACAATGTATGTTTTATTATTACGAAACATATAAGTATATTACAAATACTTAGACTTGCAGTACAATTTCTAAATTTAAGATGCTGCGGCATGCTATCCTTGCTATAACATATATCCTCCTCCTGGTTCAATCTATTCTAACTAATATTTACACATTCACTAAAATTCATAAACTACACTATTTGCTATCTTTTCTATAACATACAACCTCCTCTTCTTGGTTGTCAATTTAAGCACATTGCAATTTTAAATATCGGCGACCATCTGCCCTTTAAAACTTTTAGGTAAAAGTACCTCAGACACTCTTCGTATTTCTGTAGGAATTGTAACGCCATGCTATATCCTCTGTTCATTCTGATAATGTACAAATTTATATACTAATTAACCAAAAATAATTAAAAATGTTGTTTTGAAATTCTCCTTAGCATGATCAAGCTCCTAAAAGTGATAGACGTTTGTTTTCAAAGAATACTAGTTTTATTTTATTTTTAAACAAAAAGATAAGCTACTAGGTCCACCGTAAAGCTTACCCATATTTTATATACATATTTTTTTTTGTGCTGACCGCCTTTCAAGTTGAGTTTTTGGACCGCCAGAGACCGCAAGATAACCTGCTGGTATTGTTACTTCTCGGAGACAAATAAACTTACGCACCGGATATGCAAGGGACACAAACCAGAGATGGCAATAAAATGCAAAAGGAAAAAAGGTATAAGTATTCTGCTCTTGGGAACGGCTGGAATATCAGATGGTTTACAGCCTTTGTTTATTTATGATAGGAGGACCCACCTTTCCGATCCGGGCACCACTCAAATTAAAGTGCCCACAAAAAATGGGATTTTCGAAACACAACATTCACGCTTCGTTCGGGGGAGGGCTTTCACAGGAAAAGCTTTCACCTGCAATTTTCCCGGCTGCATTTGCCATAAAACGAAAATTTCATTAGGCCTACCGACCAGCAAAATAAAAAAAAAGAGGGGAAAATAATAGAGCAGGACTTTCACTACGATTAGGGCTTCGCCCATTTGGTTTTCTTTTTTTTTTTTGCTGTAAATTCCGAACCATTTCCATTTTCGCAGAGAACGTGACTCCCCTTTAAAATCCCCGCCCACCGACTGGCTTCCGTTTTTCGGAACCCGAACCTCCGGCCGGAAAACTGTAAATAAATTTTATTTTTTGGCCCCACCAGCAAAAGTGCATAGAAAGGTTCGGAATCCCGGATAGAAGAGTCCATGCTCGAGGCCTTAAAAACGAAACTTTATCTGCATTTAGTACATAAATAATCGAGGGCCCTCGGTCCGAGGATTTTCGGAGGTGAAAAGGCTTTTAATTGCACTCCGGCAGCCTTGCCAATTTGTTTGGGATTGATGGACATGCTTTTTGCCTGATACTAGAGTCTGGAATCCCCGATTAATTTACATCACTCAGCAGGCTTTGGATTTACTGTCCGTTGTGAAAAATAAAGAATCTGGCTAATCACTTTCAGCTAAAATGGAAAATAGTGTGGATTTGGTTTTTACGGAAGCTTACCTAATGCCCAAGAAGCAGTATCTGCTCCAAGGCAGAGTCCCATTGGACTTTGAAGTAATGGGACCCCCGAAGATTAAGGTGGATAATTTGTAATTTTGTATGTAAATATCAATGTAATCCCTTATTTGGGTGTGATTTTTATAGATAAATGATATTGCTGAGGCGGCAACTGCTGTTCCTCCTGATGTTTTAGATTTCACCGACTTACCCGACCTAAACCAGCCGCTGCCGGAAGTTTCCATTCGCGAGCAACTGCGTCTGACCTCCGTGAACCGCGGGAAAATCGTCAGATGGCAGCTCGCTCACCAGGCCCAGCTGCTGGCCATGTGGCACTCCCACTCACCCGGAAATTAAGTTCAGGGATAGAACCATGTAAGTCTAGTCGGGACTAAGTGAGTTATCCTCTTGCAAATCCAATTCCCTGCAGGGAGTCAGGCGTTGATTGATGACCATAGGAGGACTTTTCCTGGGTTCAACTTATGACAGATAGTGAGAGATATGTGATGCTCTCATTTCCTGTGAATTGATATGTACAATTAACAATGGGAAACCACAAATAATAGACTAGAAAGCAACAAGAAATATATATGATATTTGTTTCATTTCATTTTCATGAGCTAATAAATTCTGCAAATTCTACAAAAAATATTGTCTATTATCAGTGATGAGAAAAATTGTAAAACAATATATGAAATAAAATATTTAACTTTTTGCGATGAAGAAATTTGATTAAACCAATGAAAATACATGGCTTTGGCAGGTATATTTATATTTATATCAGAAAACCAAGAGTTTTTTAAATAATTTAAAAAATATACAAAAATTCTTTGGGAATAAAGTACATAAACATTTTTTCAACTCAGCTTAAACCATAAAATCCGATCCATAATTTTACGTAAAATGAGCACTAATTGCTCAGCATAGAATTATCTTGGTGAGTCAACTTATTGTTAACAGGTGAGCACAATGTAATTATAATTCCAATTTGCTTCACCTTATGCTCCTGTCACACGCACAATTAAAATCCACAAACACAAATGTCAAATGATGCACTTTAAATGCAAAACTCACAATTCGCAATTTGAGTCTGCACAAATGACATGGACAATGGGAGGAAACAAGGGGAAATATCATCTCTACAGTCGGGTGCCAGGATGTTCAACTTGTGGCAGGATGCATTGATTTATGTCCTGGCAAACAAACAGAAACAGAGAGTGAGTGTTACATAAATCTTCATTTGTGAATTACATTTTATATGGTCTTTTGCCACATTCGGTCAAGTATAATTGCCGAGAAAATAATAGGGAGAAGTTGTTAAATATTAATTATGTTATAATAATAATAATTATGATATAAATATATTAAAATGTTTAAGTAAAATATATTTTCTTATTTACACCAGAAATACATCTAAATTTTACCCAAAATAAACCGGAAAATAAACCCAATAAAAAGACTTTAAGCTCTCTCAAACTATTTCATTTTTGTTAACTTCATAACATATGTTTAGTAACAAATAAAATTCTTTAAAAATATATATATAAAATATTACTGGCAAATTTATTGCTTTATTCCTATTAAGATAAACACCACTGTGAGTATATGTACATATGTTTCAATTAGTGCCTTCCATCGTACACAGAATTAAACTTTGGGATATCCCACCTTCAAGCTTAATTAAGGCAAGTGGCCAGCTCTATATCCTGCTTTATTTATATATGTACTTTATATGCAAATGCTTGATATTGTGTGCACTTTCTTTAGCAACTTCATATGCAGGATGAGATCCCTGCAAATGGAATTCCCTCAGATAGCCCGAAGTTCCTTCCTCTGTGAAATTTCTTGTTCAGATTTGAGTGTGTGCCAGTTAATGGAATTTAGGAGTTGCCAGCTAAGGACTCCATGTACTTTGAACGAAATATGGATCATTTCCCTCAACCTTTTGCAATTATTTAATGGAACTGTCTTTGGGGAAACCTGTTTCTAAAAATAAAGTACAAATTGTTTGCTTGGAAACTGAAAAAAGAGAAAAATAATCAAGCAAACGGATTTATTTCATTTAAAAACTGAAAAGTAAATCCTTACAGAATAGAGTTATTATCCTGTTAAAAAACTTAAAGCAGTGGAAAAACAGGAAGTAAAATTAACAAGACCCATGGAATCCCCCCTGGCAGTTAACTATGAAGGTAACTGCTTCATAACTTCATGTTATTTGCTTAATGAAATTCCCCCATCAGCAGGGACCGCCACCTCTCTAGCTGGCTTTAGCTTATTGAAATGCTGAACATTGAGAACATCCGCCTCCCAAAAATCCACCCTAAACCCCCTCGGAACACCCCAGATAACCCCCTTGGCCCACTTAAGTCGCCCCCCTTTTTGGCTACAACAATGCAAATATTATTCCTTGACACCAGCTGTAGTAGAGGCGAGCGAATCCGGCAGCTGCTGTCACTGGATCCCCACGGAAGGATGTGGCTTGGTGGGTCTGGGCGGCTGGGCTACCTCTTCCACGCCCACTTGGCATTTCCATTTCGTTGCTAATAACTTGTTGCATAACCAGAAATTCCCAACGCCTGCCATAAAGCACTTTATCAAGTTAATAAAAATTGATGGCTGGCACGCAAGCAATTTGTTTTTTGACTGCCAGAAGTATGAGTTGAAAATTTCAGAGAATATCCCTGAGCTATGCTTGTCATCTGTTGTACAGTACCTTAGGGTTTTATTCTTCAATTAATTTTCTAGGATTTATGTGGATATGTTTTATATGTTGTTTCTGATCATTTTGATACAGAAAGAAAGAGTAATTCGTTCATTGGTTAATTATTGATACCTTAATTTCATGCTTAATAGAAATTTATGCTTTTAAGGAAAGATCTAAGGAAATGAATTAAAAATCAGTGTATTTAAGGATTTTCCAACTTAATTTGTACACCCAGAACCTTGTTGAACTCCATAACAATTTAGCATTTGGCAAACGACTTGTTCTCCATAAATTCACGAGCAGTGCGTGTCCCATGATTATTTGCCCGCCAGGATCGTGACATCCGCGTGACTGCTGCGACACATCCTTTTCCCAATTCGTGAGTGATACGTGATTGGAAATAATTTAAGCTGCCGCTGCTGTGATAAACCAATTTGCGAAAATTTAAGATGAAAGACGAGACGCAGATCCGGACTCGGTGGCCACAGCCACAGCACAGCACAGCAAGGCACACATAAAATGGAAGCATTTTCACAACTGTCATTGAAATGTCAACATAAATCTACTGACAGCCAGTGTGCCAGGTTCCCTCTCGTCCTGTCCTGCCCCATATCCTTCTCCGGCGACTTTTGCGCGCTGCGTGACGTAAATGCTGATGAATATTTCTCATCTGCTGGCCGTGGTTCTTCTGGTTCAAGTGGGTGGAGCAAGGCGCTGGCTAGTGGAGCGAAGCTTTCCCTGCAGTTTTGTTATGTCGTGGATATCCATAGCTGGCTTTCAGCTGAAATGCACATGGAAAAAATATGAAATTTAAAGAAGAATATATTTAAGTACTTAATTAAAATATAGACAAACTTGTAATAAGGAGAAATATTAGGTATCATAATTAAATCTTGTTTTAAATATTTATAGCGATTTATACAAATATTAAAAAAGTATCTAAATTTGGTACCCCAAGTTCATAAGCATCGAATTAATTATTTTAGAATTTCTTGGAAACATTATTAAGCTTTTTACCAAGTGTAGAGAGACAAAGCAAACTGCTACTCCCAGCAGCGAAATGGGCTTGTCAGTTTTGATGAACTATCTTTGGCTGGCTCGTCCCTGTTCCGCTGCTAATGCTAATGCCTCTGACAGAGATCTATGTGCGGTCTGATTCATTCGAGTCCCAGTCTCGGTCCCAGACTGAGGCACACAGCCTTCGCCGAGCTTCAGACCCCGAGATGAGGTCACGTACAATGGCGTCGACGTTCGCTTGTTTTTGGCTTATTAAATGTTTAGTTGTTGTCCTGCCTCCCACAATTCCAGACATTTTCGGTGTGGTCTGCCGCCCCATGCATTTAGTATTAATTTGGCTTAAATGTGATTAATGTCTGGTTACAGAAAGGTTTGCTGTTTGTGGTCAGACAAAAGTCTGAGATAAACTAAGCCGGGATCAGCCATTGATATCAAAAAGGCCATTAACATACAGTTTTCAATTAGAGCAAGTGTTTGCAAATGTTTGTCTGTCTCTGCTATACCTAAATTTAATTGCACTAATTTTAGTTAGCTTGGTGAAATAGAGAATTCTTAATTAGTGCTTCTGGGAAAACAACAACCCATTAAGTCCTGCAGCTGCTGCAATAATTGTCTTTATATCCAACATTGAGTCTTGAGTAAATTTCACAAGGCCACTTCTCCAACCTTTTGAGTTAAAACCCCTTCGGTGGCACCTTTGATGGCAACCATAACTTAGTGGCAATAACTTATGCCCTGTGGGCACTGAGAGAGCAACATTCATTAGCTGTTTGCTGAAGCCGCCGGCTTTCCTTTAAAGCCGTTTATTTGCTGCTGCTGTGCACTTTGTGGTTTAATTAAAGCTCGGCAGACGGAGAGCGAAGTGTGTGTGTGGTGTGTGGTGTGTGAGCAGCTGCCTTAAACCAAATTACACTAATTGGGTTACCATATGACAGGGCACTGCGTCGGCTGTGACATTTGTTTGCCATGGCTTGCCAATGCTTGCATTATGTCCGCCTACCACATCCTTCGTCCCGCAGACTCACAATGAGCAGAGGGTTTGTGCACTCGGGAAGAAAATTCAGCAGAAAGCAGAGCAAATGTCGAAAAGGAAATTCATTTTTGGAAATTATATAAATTATAAGTTATAAAATAAGTTTGATTCCTGAAACATTTGATTTCAGACACATTTTTAATGCATTTTAAATATCTAAAGAGTTCTGGAGATCTCCCGAAAGTGAATATACTAGGAGACTTTGGTCTAAAGTTAATAATTTTTGTAGTAACCTTTTTTTTTTTTTTGGCAGTGCCGTCAGTAAGTCCTTCACTCCACTGGGCGTCGCATTCGCAGTTACCAGCTTGTAATAAGCTGCAGGATCATTTTCCGCACACCGGCTGCTTTGACAGCTGCAATAACACACACTGCTGAAAGGGTGTCGGAAAGAGGGGAATGGTGTTTAACTGGTGTAGACCACATTGGAAATGGAGCCCCAAAGAGATCAGGCCTAGTTCATTGAGTGCACAGCTGTTGGCCTTTAAACGGAGTCTCGTTACATTGCATTTAAACAAGGACACTAGACAGGAAACTAGATTTTGAATCAATTAGCTTAAAACATATTATTTAACTTTATTCATTTACTAAAGAAAACCTGAATGCCTTAAATAATTTATATTTTCATTAATGATAACTAAATAACCAGGGTATACAGATATATATACTCAGATATCCATGGCAGGCTCAAAGGACAATTCCTTGGCGTATACACTTTCAGCAGGGGTCATTATGTCCTCCAACAAGCGATTGAGAGACTCCGAACCGAGAGCGTACTTCTGCCCCTTGGCAATGTTATTGTGTTTGGCGTCTAAATAAATGCTGCAAAAGTTCCGCTCGCCACTCAAAATGTGCTGCAGGGCATTGCTGATTTGCTCGGAACCCAAGCTCTCTGGACCCTCGATCTCCGATTCATCGATCACTGCCGTGTCCGGATGGTCGGAGATTTTGGCTGCCCCCTCCTGCTCGTTGACCGTCTTCAAAATCTTAATGGTCTGGATGGAGAGCAAGAGTCCTGCTGAAAAGGAGGCCAGCCACTGGGCAATCAAAGTCATGGTGTGTCCGGTCTTACTAGGTTTCGATTGCCGAAGTGAATTTTGAATTATTTTATGTTGAACTACATTTCAATTGTAGTGTTTTTTTGAGCAATAAATCCCGAATACTAATTATAAGTAGTTATGTCCCAGATATCAGCGTTTAAATTTCGCAGCCGTTAGTGTCTAAATTAGATGGCAGCTCTGTTGAATTTAAAAAGCTATCGGTTATCGAAGTGCACAGTGAATGGTCGCTCACAATCGAACGATGTGGCAATGTTGGTCTCATAAACGAAATAGCTGGCAGCGCTATGTACGTGGCCACGGGCAACCAGCGTTACCAGACCGCGCATTCATTAACCGCCAAACCTGTATATATAAATAATTCATTTTGAAAATAGACCTAAATAAAGGTGAATAAAGGGAAAATTAAAATTAAATGAGCCACAAAAATAAGTAATATTTACTTATATTTATATACATCTATGTATAAGCTATCCCATAAACACACAATTTATAAGTTCTACATTTTCAATAAGATAAGTTACAAAACATATATATATATTAAAAAAGGCCACATTACCTCGGTACATTTATCCTTTAACTAATGCATTATATTTTTTTAAATCGGATAATTCTAGGAACAGTTAGGATGAACTCCACAAACCAAAATTTTTGGGACTCGGGAGAAGCCCGAAATCTCCCTAATATCTACATTTTTTGGATAAATCCCTCAGTTTTTTTTAGAAGTAACTATGTTTCACACTACAGAATTTAATATGGAGTTTAAAATATCTCCACATCAAAAAATATTTTAAAAAATATTAAATGTATCTGTCGAAAAGGCTTTTTTAACCCAAGTAAGCCAACACTGCGAAATCAATATATCCTTTTTATTTACAAATTTGAAGGGAACATGCGATTGCCAAGCTACAAGAGATTTTGGGCCAGACGATAGTTGTATTCCTCAAAGAGTTCCGGGGCTACTCTATACGGCTGGTCGATCAGCGACAGGCGGATGGGCGTCTGGCACGTGGGAGTCGAATAGCTGGGCGATGCTGGCGGCGGGGGTTGATAGCAGCTCGGCGTCTGCGGGAGTGGTGCCTGGTAGACAGGGGCTGATGGCGCCTGGCTGGCGTAACCCTGATCCACCTGGGCCGCCGGTTGGGGTGCCGGTGAAGCGGATAGGTAGATGATTGGTTGGTAAACGATTTGCGGCGGCGGCGAAGAGACGTAGTTTGGCTGGACCGCCTTGCCGTAACCGTCGGATGCGGGCTCCGTTTGGGCATAGCTGCTGGGCGCTGCGGGTTCATAGCTTACGGCTGGTGGTGGTGGCGGATCGTAAACAGGAGGCAATGGTGCAGGCTCAGCAGGAGGAGGGGCGTAGCTGTCTGTCGCAGGTGGTGCGGGCGGATCATAACTAGGGGCTGCCGGAGCAGGAACTTCGTAGGCAGGAGCTGGAGCCGGGGCAGGGGGCACATAGCCCGCGTCGCCATCACCGGGGCCATTATATTCAGGATTGGGTTTGGCGTATCCGCCATCGGGTGCGGCCCCATAACCATCGACAGCTTGATAGCTCGGACTCAGTGGTGCCGCATAGTTGGCCTGAGGTTGTGCACACCCACCGCCACACTGGACGCCACAGGGACTTGTGGTGTGAAAGAGATCGGGCAGCTTCTTGAAGAGTTTCATTTGTTTAAAGGGATCCAGATCCTGGAGCAGGAGGCCATTGTTGCAGTTGTTGGTAGGGGGGAGCACTGCGGCGGGTGGATACTGCACGTTGTTGTTGTTGTTGCAACAATTATTATTTTGCGGAAATAGATCGTCCCACCACTTCAGGAGCGAGCGATTGGTGCGCTTCAAGGACTCCTTGGGAGCCACCAAGGGACCGGCATCCACCATTTGATAATACTGTGCCTGACCAGGAACCGCTATGCGATTTGAAATGCCCGAACCGTGTGCTAAAGACGTGGACAGGAAAAGGGCTCCTGCCAAGAGGGACAGAGTCCACGAACTACTTCTTCCAGAGTCTAGCATTTTTCTGCAATTCCAATATTGGTTAGCAACTGGTAACCTCGCGTTTTGAACTCCCAATTACGACTAGCAAAAGGTCCGATTCAAAGCGGTCAACCTAAGCTGCCCCAAATCGAGCTGGATCAGAGCAAGGTCAGCATTTCGCGGTACTTTTGACGGGGTACAGTTGTTCACCTTTAAGTAATATTTAAATTTTAGCCAAGTCTTAGGTTCACTTTTTAATATTTCAATTTTAAATTATTCTTCAGTGAAAAATAATCATTTTCTTTAAAAGAGAATATTGCATATTCATTGGATTATTACCTTTTTTGTTAAGTTTAGAAAATAATGTACAATCATTTATCTCACAAACTTAAAGATACATAAGTATATTTTATTTTATATATTATTTATCATATATTTTAAAAACCTAAAGAGCATTAAGAGTTCTGTATAAGACAGAAACTACCAAAAAATCGAAATGAAGAAATCTTTTCCTGAACTTTAGGTTTTGCAACACCTCAATTCCCCACCGAAAGGTGTTCCCATTTCATCGAAACTTCAAGAGTCCCACATATAAGCATAAAATTCTTAAATATTGCAACGTCTTCACAGTTTTACCTGTGGTTTTTCCTGATTTGTGTGTTGTTTGCTTTATTGTTTATTTTCGACTTTTTCTCTTACGTGTTCGAAATTGCTAACCACCAATGCGAGCTTTCTGTTTGATTCGTGGAGCGTGGCTGGCTCTGCCTTGGCGGAAGTACGAACCGGGAAAGCAAAGAGAAAAAGATACATTGTACACATAATAATTATAAATATATGTATATATCCTCGTAAAATACCTCCTAAAGTGGTTGGTCATTGGCTTACTCATCGCGGTATTGCCTTATTCATCGCGTGTCCATTTGGTAATCGGCAAGGTTGGTCAATAAGAAAATATATGGAAAACTGAATTATATACTATAGTTCAATCATTCCGAAGATATTTCCTTAACTTGCTTTATCTTAACTCTGCCTCTCAGGCTCTCATTTTTAATAGGAGATCGCAAAAAACTATTGGTTCCGAACAATTAAGCATACTATAACATTTATCCATAATTGTGGATGGTTTTTAGTTTATCCGATCGTAAAAAGGTATACATCAATTTAATATCTGTTTAGAAAAAGGTAATGCATAATTCAAGTTTTGAATAATAAGTTTGTTTTGGAATAAGATTAAGTGGAAGAGAATCATATTCCCAATTTTGAGCGGTTGAGGAATATCAATTATCAAAATCTAACATTCAAGAAAACAATATTATATCAGCCTTTCTGAACGTCTGTATCTGTTTAGACAAGACACTAAACCCCTCCGAAATCATTAACTAATTCGCTATTCTTGAAACCTACAAATTAAATTTTATTCAATTTAAGTGTTCCGTTTACAAAACTGTAAGACTACAATTGTTGGAGATATCTGTGCTTTTGGGATACGCGCCTGCTGGTGCGCGAATGTTGCCGCTTGCGTTTTTCCGGCTTCAGAAGATCTGTCGCCTTACTAACAATTTGGCTAGCCGTTATTTCTTCTTGTTGTTGCTTCTTATCGAGGCTGCTTCCAGTCATCAGCTCGCGGTCGTATGGCTCATCCTCCAGGGAGTCATCATTTTCCGAGCCCAATATGTCACTCTCTGATGTCTCTGTGCTTGAAGGCGTCGGTGTGCTGGACGACGTTGGAGTACTTGGAGGTGACGGAGTATTGGAAGGCGTAGTGCTGGAGTCGAAGTTCAACATTCCTGATCTCTCGGTGGTTGATGTCTCTGCGACAGGTGCTGCCTCCGTAGTCGAAAAGGCAAGCTCGTTCGGATTAAAATTAAATACACGCTGGAAGAAGTTGCCGTTGGGCGTTGGCGGCATGGGAGGAGCCGCTCCTAGAATTCTATTGAAAGGATTGAACGGGTTGAGGGTTCCGAATGGACCGAAGGGGTTTAGACCCATACCAAGCTGCATTCCCATGCCGAAGGGGCCGCCCACCTGCTGATCCATGCCAAAGCCCTGGGACATGCCAAAGGTATTGCCGCCACTTCCGTATGCGCCGCCAAGGGGACCAGTCACTGGGGCGGGGGCCAAGCCAAAGGGACTGCCGAGAGTGGGAGGAGTTCTCTGCAAGACCCCAGGAGCTATTCGCGGCATGGAATAGTAGGGCGTCGGCTGCTGTTGTCCGTAGCAAGGCATTGTTATTATGAGCGGCTGGTAGCTGGGACAGGATGTGCTATAGCTCATCCCGTTATCCGCAGGTGGCTGACATTGAAGCGGTGCTGAGGGTGCAGTGCATCCATTGCAATTCACCGTAGATGGAGTAGGACTGGGTGGCACTCCCCCTTGACTATAAGCTGGAGGAGTTGGTGAAGATTGGCTGTTGTACGGATTATAGCTTGGAGCACCTTGTCCCACCAAAGGATGCATTGGTGCCGGTTCCCTTTGGGAACCAGCGGGCACTGCGGCTTCCTGACTCTGTGATCCTGCTCCGGCCAAACTGCTGTAGAATGCTCTCATCACAGGATCATTTTCGGGGTCGGATGAATGCGTTACGGGAACCCACATCATTTGATCCTGAGGATGACTTACTGGTGTGCGATATTGCTGGTTTAGTTCCTCCGGCCTGAATCTCACATCAGGTACGGCGAACACATCCCCTTCAAAGCCAGAACGGTGTCGACTGCTCCCAACTATCCCGTATTCCTTGCTGGGACGGTTCGACGAGCCCTGATCTGCTGTAGGATCATACGAAGGGGTCGTGGCCGCTGGGCCTGGGCCATTTGGAGTTCCTGGTGGAGTTGCTGGCGGGCTGCCGACAGTTGGGTAAGGAACTGACGGCAGGCTATGCGAGTGCGCTGCAGGTGCAAATGAATGGGCAGCCACGGGGGGTCCATAGAATCCGCCTTGCCCAAGGGCTGGGGACTGGGGCTGCTGAGGAAGAGGCTGAGGGTAGGGCGACTGCTCCTGGTATGACGTCGGTGGCGATGGCGACGGTGGTGGGAATTGATAAATTGGATTCTCTGCGAACTGTGGGTGAGGCTGGAAGGACCCGCCTCCAAAGGCGGGAAAGGACGGAAAGGTGTGAACGGATCCAGGCTGCGGGACAGGTTGTTGATTTTCAGGAGCGGGTAGATGCTCGACTCCGGGCACAGACTTTGGGGGCTCCATGCCCTGGCACATGTAGACAGGCTCCTGACCTCCTCCCTGATTCTTAACCTCCACACAGCCCTGTTGGCCATTCTCAGCCCCAAAGTTGGCACCCCGGCACATGTAGTAGGGCTCCTCCTGTGGCCCACTGGGCCTGATCTCCACGCAGATCGTGGTCATTGTGCGCTTACTGCGGTGCCGTGGCTCCTCCGAAGCGGGATTCTCCACCTTTCCAGATACTGTCGCACCTGCAGCTAGCCAGATGAACAGGAAAATCCATATTAGTTGCATTTTCCGGGCTTGAGGATGGGTCTCCATGTTGCGGTTCCGCTCACTAACTTCCGTTTCAGCGTCGAATGGGGCTTTTATAGTTCTCTGAAGCTCTGTATAAGGAATTGAGACCAGCATAAGAGAATGGAAATGGAGCTGCATCTAACACTCCCACAAATATCTTACCCAATGTCACAGTTCCTCGGAACTGTCTTCCGCAATCTCTCAATCACTTAGTTTTCCTTCTTCCCTTGCCTTCTTTGACACTTTGCTGAGCTTCTTTTGCCTGAAAATCAACTGACTGAATAAAAGGCACTGTCCGTGCGATTGACGAACGGACACCACATGGCGCGGCTTCCAGACTTTGGAGTAATACTCTTTCAAACATGGAACTAATGAAATTTGTAGTATACTCGGTTCTTGGCTTTTAATTTATTGTTCGTAAAGATAAATAAAAATATTTATTGATACATTGAAAATGAATAAAACTACTTAAATTTGATTTAAAAACTTTACTTTTATTTTAGCTGGTAAAACTAATAGTTGGTGTATGTATATTTAACTTATAATAAATATAATTTACCAGAAACATTTAAAGTAATTTGTAGAGCATTTATTATTCTTTAAATATAATTTATTGCCTGTCGCCTTGATTTTAGCTGAACCTCGCAATTTGCGGCTAGCAATACGATTTCGCGTGCTGGGCAGTTCAACAAACTCCTCAGGTTCCTATAAGCCATATCCACCGATTTACCAATAGTCAGCACTTTTGAACTCTTTCATGATCGGATCACTCAAAAGAAATAGGTGTCCCAAAAAAAGCGAGAGGAGGCATGGAATAATTCGGTCACTTGGTCAATGGGTGTTAGATACCATAATAAAAAATGCAAGGCAGAGAACCCCCTTTCCGACGATTAATATACATATGTACATAAAATATGATGTAAATTTTTATAAACCTTTAACCATTTTATTAAACCTTAAAATAAGTATACTTGTATGTATATCCTGGATGATCATATCAATTTCTCATCGATCGCATATGCCTTTTCATTACTCGCCCATACAAAACACAAAAAACCTAAACAAAGCAATCTAAACACTAAACTCTATAATAAATTCAACTATTCAATAAGATAAAATGGACAGGGATGAGGAGAACTACTGGCACCTGCGACCTTACAATGTACCCAACTTACCCCCCGTAGACGTGGTGGAACCTCTGACGGCACGGAATCTTTTCCAGCTGTACTGCAACACCTTCCTTGCTGCCAACTTTGCCGAGTCATGGGTTTTTTGGATGGACGTGGGCAAGACCCGGATGCAGGTGGAGGGCGAGGAGGCGAAGAAAACGGGTGCCAAAATGCCATCTTTCCGGGCCACTATACAGAACATGATTAAGGTCGAAGGCGTCAGATCTATATACGCCGGCTTTTCGGCTATGGTCGCCCGAAATTTTCTGTTTAACTCAGTCCGCGTCGTCCTATACGACATCTTTCGGCGCCCGTTTCTCTATGTCAACGAGCGCAACGAAGAAGTCCTCGGAACCCACTGGGCCCTGGGTTGTGGCTTCACGGCGGGCTGCATAGCCCAGGGACTGTCCAATCCCTTCGACATCGTCAAGGTTCGGATGCAGACGGAAGGCCGCCGACGGCAGCTGGGCTACGAGCCGCGGGTAAACAACATGGTACAGGCCTTCGTGGACATCTACAAGCATGGGGGCCTGCCCAGCATGTGGAAGGGCGTAGGACCGAGCTGCTTGAGGGCCTGCCTCATGACTGCCGGCGACGTGGGTACCTACGATCTGAGCAAGCGTATGCTGAAGCGCCACCTGAACTTGGAGGAGGGCATCCCACTGCGCTTCGGGGCCTCAATGTGCGCCGGCTTCACAGCATCCGTGCTTAGCACTCCGGCTGATGTAATCAAGTCGCGGATGATGAACCAGCCGGTGGATGAGAACGGAAAGAATCTATATTATAGAAACTCCTTGGAATGTGTTAGAACGCTGGTAAAGGAAGAGGGGGCACTAACGCTGTACAAGGGCTTCCTGCCCATCTGGTTTCGTCTCGGACCCTTCTCGGTTCTCTTCTGGCTGTCAATTGAACAACTGCGCCAGTGGGAGGGCCAGGTGGGATTCTAAGGGGTTAAGTATTCCAATAGGATGAAATTTTAAGGTGATCAGTATGTGGAAATGTGTTTTTACGTAAATTGAATTATATACATATGTATCTATATAGATTTTACAGAGTTAGCTTTCTTATATTTTGTAGGTACAAAAAAAACTAATCTGCATGCAGAAGATTCGAATGTTTTTATCAAATGTAATAGCTTTCGCCCTTAGTATTGTTTTATATTTATTTATTTATTTAGTTTCTGATGGCATATAAAGGCTCTGCAAAGCTCTGCCTGAATTCTAACAATTAAATTATTAACTTTACATCAGTTTTTATTAAAAATAAATTATTAAGGTAAATTAGTTATGTTGTATGCAATTGTGTTTCAAAAGAAAAATTCCTTTCCATTTTATTTTAATGATTATAACTAATTGATCTCTGATTGCTTGACAACTGCATCAGCCTGATGACAAAGCCAGACACAAGTCATTTTTAGACGACTGCTTAGAGATCGTGGAAATATTTGCATACTTTATTGAATGAATCAATCTCGCCCGCAGCCAAAGAAATTATTATTTGCCGTTAGAGATGGAAATGAAGACACACGCGCCTCAAATTGCGAAGTGAGCAGAGCTGCTAAAGGCCAACGGCATAGTATAGTATGATTAATTACCCAGTTGATAAAAGTTGTCAAACGGCTACAGCCTCGGTTTTATTTTCTGCCCGGCCCTAAGGCTCTTTCTTAGATTTATTTTGAGATCCACCAAAATCCACCGAAAAAAAGGGAAAGTAAATAAAACTTTCCACGGGAACAAGTGTTGTGGCTAACGTTCTTTAGAAATGCACTCAAAATAATTTGTATTTGAATATAGAAATGGTGGCATTTCAAAAAATATGCTAAAGATACATACCTATAAAAAAATATATATAACGATTTTTTTGGTGGCTTTTTTTGAGAAAATGCCTTGGTATGTACAGATGTGGGTCAATGTTTTTTGCGAGATGCCAGCCAAGCAGAAGCATACAGAACGACAATTACTCACGTCTCCTCCACTGGCAGCCGAAAGATAACGCCAACTGCAGAAAAATTAATAAATACACATTTCTCTTTTATGTATAACATTTTCAAAAGAAATAATTGCGCCATTGCGTCAGCCGTTTTATACGAAGATACGAAAATAGCCAGCAGTCCTCCGCATAGGCCAAAAATGGTAAAGAACGTGAGAGCATTGACTTTCTATATTCATTTTAAAGAACAAATATAAACGCACAGAACATAAATAAAATAAAATATATAAAATGTGTGCACAATTTTTACGAGGTTCCAAAGACTGAAATGTCTTTGGCAGCTTACCAAATATTTATGGAACCATAGATTGCCGCCCGCCAAATAATAATGATTTGAGGTGTGTTTAATTTTTAATGAGGAGCATTTTCGGTTGTCTCACTCGCATTTTTTATTTCAATAGTATTAAAGTATCGAATTATATATGTTGTTGCTTTTTGTTTTTTTTTTTTTATATCCATATATTTATGCGTTCAGGGTTTCCTTCTTTCTTTTCTTTTTCATTTTCATGCTTTTACGAAAAATGTCCGGGTATGGTGTAGGCGGGATCGGGAAAGGAAGGAAGCGGGTTGGATATCGGGACTTGGTTGTTCTCTAATGGAGAATTAGTGTGTGAGAGCGCGAAAGAAGAAGGCTTAGAGACATTGAAGTTTTAGCTAAACGTAAAAAAAAGCGGTTTAAATATTGAATGCTGGGTAATACTCGTACGCAGTTAATTAGTAACATTATCGTTATGTAAATGGTAAATGGCAATTTTGTCGGATTCACGCAAAGAATGTTCCTCCAGGTGCTACAATGCCTAATAATGCATATAGCGCACAATTTCGCTAAGATGTCGGTACGATGCGGAGAAGAGCGACTTGTCGCAAGGATGAGAGAACGAACTAGTATCTATAAGACGGGCACGGGGAACACAAAAATTTGGAGTCTGAACACCTACGGTGTGGTGATACATCTAAGATTTAGCTTGAAGAAGTTATTCCCACTCTTTCGATCTCAATCTTGTATAAAAAATGTAGCAGTTTTCCAGTTTTCGTTTTTCGTTTTTCCCTTCTAACCACATAAATAGAGTAAAAATAGAGCACCGGGGATGGATCTCCAAATAGTTTACATATATAAATATATATATATAGGCATATTTATTTATATTGGTTGGTATTTTTTCCTGTGTGTTTTCTGCTTTCCTTGCCTCTCATTCCCTTCGCTTTATTTCCGTTGTTCTCTCCCTCCTCCTTTGCTGTCCGTCCGTCTGTCAAATTGAAATCTTCTCTCACTCTCACTCTCTCTCTCTTAGTTTTTGTTTCATTTTGTATAAAACCTGCGTGTGTGTATGTGTGGTTTGCCTGTATAAATATACATAAAGATCTTAAAAAATTTGCCTGCTCATTTTCAAGTATCTGGTATTGTTGTTTACATTGAAAGTTTCCAATACATTCGTGTGTGGACTTCGATTTTGCTTAATTATGGGGATGCGCTTCAGTTTTGAGTTTTCCTTTTATTCTTTTTTTTTATCGTATAAACCAAAAAGTTTTAAATATATAATAATGCAGAAATTTATAATTTTGTTGTAATTGGGTAATTATTTTTGCGTTTGACATTTTTTAGCAATTGCATTTACTCCTTCTTCCGTTTCTTCTGATGCTACACACAAAAAACCGCAAATTATCTTGTTGGCCGTTGATGGTTTTTCTCCATTAATTTTTAAATATTAATAATTACTTTTTTATGTGTTTGTTATTAGTTCATTTACGGTTTCTCCTCTTATCAAATGTGTTGCTGCTGTTCTTCTTCTTGTTGTTGTTGCTGCTGTAGGGTGCTTGTGTGTAGGTGTGTGTGTTATGTGGATGATGGGGCTGTGTTGTGTTTGTGTGTTGATTTATTCTCCTAGTACCCGCAAGTAATCAGATAATCTCCAAGTTTCTCTACCACGGAAGCGGCCTGCTGGGGCTGAACGGGATCCTCATAGATGGACACGATCACGGCTGTAAAGAAGACAAAAGGATGCAAATAATTGATTAGTAATAATACAAAACATGTAATTATAATTTAAATTTCAGCTACTGCCATCGTAGGGTATTATAGCGTTGTCCGACTGTCAGTTTATTATCCAATCAATTTCATTTAAATAAAATTGTTCACAAATTTTCATATATTTCATCAACAAATAGGCATATTAATTAGACAAAAGAATCACTCAGTTGATGGATGAGAATATTGACAATATTTTATTTTTATCAATCATTTTATTCTTATCAATTTTTATTGGTTGCTTGATTGGCTGTAACCTAAAGTAATGATAATAGCTGGTGGTAAAAATCAGTAGAAATCCAGTAGTCTATCCGGTTACCAATGATGCTCTCAAAAGCAAGGAGAAAGCCACCACCGCTATCAACAGTGGAGAAATAAAAACTAACAGTATATTACAACAGCAAAGCAGCATCGCTTCGACAGATAGAAATTATGAATAAAGAGAGCTCGCAGAGCGCAGTCGGAGGTGAAAACCGGACAGGCCACCGTCCCAGACGACACGTCAATAGCAAACCAGAACACAGGCCCCGAATGAGACAAGTCTCGAGTTGAGTGGCTAATACGCACATTAATCAAATGAGCAGAAAAGTGATGGAAACCTAATTGATTGAGCGCGCAGAGCGCCCAGCTCAACTCAAATCGAAGCATGAATGGAAGTACGCAGCTCGCCCGGAGGTCAATAAACCGGGCCCAGCTCTCGGTTCTTCCAACCGATAAGCGACATATAATTTGAGCAAAATATTAAAAGAAACACCTGTGGTGACCTGCTGTCAGCTCTTGGTAGGTCTAATCTAATGAGTCTCAGTGTGTCATTACAAATACAATACTGTATTTCGTATTCGTAACTTTAAAGAGTATTTGCAATATAAACAACAAGAAATAAAATAGATTATAATAACTTGTTTATATGTGCCACTTAAGATGCAAATTTTAAATTAGAGAAAGACTAACAAGAGACATTATTTTCTTCCCATATAATACTTGCCCCCGTCGCCAGTTAGTAAGTTTCTCAAGCATAACCAAACAGAGTCATATCGAATTGCATTTACCCTTAACTCTGACGGTTAAAGCGAATCATAAACAATGCCAATTTGCGGGCTGGCGGCGCTTCAGCAACCCGACGACATTCGGTCAGATAATAGATATTTCAAGTAGAGTGTAAAGGTGCAATTTTGTAGCAATGTATGTCGGCCCTACTAGGCCCAGCCAACCGTTCAAATTACCCGATCAGCTGTTTTGGGGGCAGCTCAATGGCCGACTGGCGCCCGACACACGAGCAACGCGTGTGTTGGCCGGGTCCAAAGCAAACTGGCCACGGAGGAGGCGAAGAACCAAGCGGAGACCGACCGAGGCAGAGCCAGAAACACGGCCAGACAGAGACCAGTTTGGATTATTTTTACCATTTCTTGCCTATTTTCCTATTTTTATGCCGCTCCTATACACTGTGCAACGTCGTTTGCACTTGAAATGGATTATGGCAATAACCTTGAGCTTGTCGTTGCATTGGCGGAGCAGGGGGGTAATGTGTGTGGTGTGCTGTGCTGTGTGGTATTGTGTGTGTGGTGCGCAACAGTTGCCGCAAAAACTGTACAAATATGGACGCGCGGAACGGCTGACGCGTCAGCAAACAAACTGGTCGTAAATGCAAACAGCCGCGGCAGCAGCAGCAGCAGCAGCAGCAACAAAAATCAAAATTAGCTTCTTGCCATTGAGGCACTAGCTGGCTATCCGAGGGAAGCGAGTGTGAGCGGGAGAGCTCGGCGACTGCTAACAACATTGACATGGCCAAGATTTTTTTTGTTTCTAACTAGAGATGCTGAAAAACGGAACGAACGAAAAAACTGGAGCAGCAGTAGCGACACATAAAATAATAATGATAATGGTCCCTAGTTTACCACTCTCTTTTTCTGTCTCTTGGTGATTTGGCTTAACTTCTTGGTAACTTATATATATTAAGTTTCGACCCTCCTACCAAAACTTTGGAGAGAAATAAGGCGGTAATCACTCATTTATGGCTACCAAATTTCTTTTAGAGTCCCCAAAACTTATCTGGCGTTCTGTGGTGGATTAAATTCTTTGCACCAACGATAAGTCGAACAAAATGAGTGGTATTAAACCATTTTTGTGGGATGTCTGTGTGCTTTTGCTTTTGGATTGCGGTTGTTCATACAAAGAAACAGCTGATAGCTGTTATCAGGGCGGGGCACAGACATCCTATCGATAACGTGAATTGGTAACTGTATTCACTGAAATTCGACATTTCAGATAGTAAATGTTATTGAGAACTCTATATATATGAAATAAGATCTGCGAAACAAACAGAAAATTTCCAAAACAGGAGCTAGCTGCTGGTATTAGTCATTAGTTTTCTAACCTAATGTTTGAGTCATAAACAGGAAGCCTTCGGCTGGGAGTTAAATTAATCCAGAGGGATTAGATAAGCTAGAATTAATTAGATAACTATTTTGGTGGAGCTTAATTAAAAAATAACTAATTAAGTGTTCCCTGAATAGCGATTAATTATTATTTTTAAATAATAATAACAATAAACATTTGTATTGTCTGTTGATTTCAATATTATCACATATATACTATATACTATATTAAATAATGGTTTTTAAAGAATACTAAAATTTAAAGCTGAATTTGTATGGTATAAAAAGTTGTGTTATCTGCCCTATTATCGATTTCGCAGGCGACAAAACTGATCTCAAAAGAGGGACAAGTGGACTACTATTGTAGCTCCTTATATCGAGATGGCTCACCTTGTGTTGTCTTCATGCAGTGTACTCCGCTTCGGCCGAGCTTGGCGCGCACCACACGATCTGTGCCGGACAGGTAAATGTACCGCTGGCCGGCGAGTGTTACGCCGTTGCTGGTGAGCAGGTCCTGCTGGTCAAAGCCGCTAATCAGTTTGGAGAGCTCCTCCTTTGTCACCTGCAAAATATGGAAAGATAGGGTTTGGATTAGTGGGGGTGGACATTGCATGTGGAATGGCTTATTGGACTTTTAAGGGTCACGCACGCATTTCAATAAATTTCGGTGCGTTCTTAGTTCTTACTCTGCCGTCATTTGTATGCGTCAGGGTGTGCAGCGGAGGGGGATGGTTATGTGGCAGAAAAGATATTGGAGTGGCGGCGCGCCCTTTTCAGGCGCACACACAAAGCATTAATTTCTGTTAAAATATCAAAGTAATCAACGACGGACGGCGCAGCGGCAGCCCACGCAAACGCGAACCACCAACCACCAGCGAAAACCACCACCCATTTTGCCAACAGTTGGCAACAACACGCGTGGCCACATCGACGACGGCTGCCAACTCATTAAACCAAAGGTGGTCGGGTCCATGCAAGTGGTGAAAAGGGATTTGAGGGGGTGAAAGTGCCAGGGGAGTGCCATTGGGCCTTTATAGAAACTTAAAACAAGTAAAAAAGGATATGGCAAAGAGTTCTGTTACCTCGAAAATAATACAGAGATCTTACAGATACAAATGTTTTGGATGGGCAGCAAGGATATAGAGACTTCGGCTTGAGAAGTTACTTAGCTTTGTTTCTCGTCGGTTTCGGGAAAACAAGTTTGCAAACTTGAATGTCTTGTCCGGCCAAAAAAAGAGTCACACACAAAGAAAGAGGGCGATAACGAAAAAGAGAAATAAAGTGAGAGAGAGTGAACGCGGGAGAGCATTCCAATGTCATTAGACTTGACCAAATCAAGTGCAGGAAACAGCTGGTCTTCAGAGAGAAGGGAACGAAATTGAATTTATAAATCGAGTGAGTGTGATTAATCGTTACCCCTTTTCTTCCCCCCCAAACGGTGACACATGCGCAGCACCTCAAACACAGCATCGAGAAGTTTCTATTGAGCGGCGCGAGTGGGAGAAAGAAATTATAGAAGAGAGGAGCCGCAAGAAGCCGGTTTTTGCGTACAAAGTTATGCCAAATATTTTATTAAATTGGCGTAGACAAGCATTCAAAACAAAAAACCATATAGATCCCAACAAATGTACATAAACGGACATATTTTATTTGCACAAAATAAAACACATCTCTTGCCTTTTTAGGCATGTTTTTATTTGGCAAATCATTTTTGCAAAAGGGGAATACAAAGACAAACGTCGACTTTTTGATAAGCTCCCAGAATGGCGTTCGCTCCGGAGATCTCTAAAAACAGTCTGGCAAGGCTCAGAGAGCAGCTGATCAGATCAATCGCGAAAGGAAAAAATCAGGTATATTCACCTGAGTGAATCATGCGAATGAAAAATTAAAATCGAAAAGCCAAAATCAAAAGTAGGTAACTCAGGTAATGCGAAAAGGGAGAAAAATAAACAAAAGGCAGATGGGAAAGCAATAGGAGATAATTGAACGAAAGTGATACGCGTGCAGAATATGTCAAGCAATAAATAAGAGAGGCGAGATGGAGAGGAAGAGCAGCGCCGACGAAGAGATGATGACGTTGACAACGGACAAAAGCGGCTTAAAAACTGAAAAATTGCTGTGGCAAGACGACTGCCAACTCATGGCTGAAATCGGTTTATAGTGCAATTGCGATATTGTTGGAAGCGTCGACAAACAAAGCAAAAGGGAGTGGCTGGAGTCGAATGAAGCGCAACAGACGGAGAGCAGGATAAAAGCACATGGAGTCAGGAGGAAGTCGCACACACACATATAAACACAGAGAGAGCACAAACTCATTTATACAAAACCAAAAACGTGGCGCGCATATGAAATGCTCAAGAAATTTTAGGGCGCTCTCCCATGGTGACGCGGCATCGAGATATATGTATGTATGTGTTTCCTTCATTTCGCTCCGATAAAGAGATTTTTTGCGAACAACAACAGAAGCGGGCGGAGATAAAAAACCAACACATCATATCAACTAAAACTGATAAAGGCACCAGCAGAGTGGGCAGTCGTTCTCTTCATTGTGCTCTTCCTAGGAATAGGGAGTGGATGCATTATCAGGAATCAGTGTTGAATAGTACCGGGAAGTCAACATCTGCACATTTGAAACTGCTGTTGATATCACATTTCCCTCCCTCTACCACCATCCGTCCTATTACCGCGAACTAAATCCGAGCTGTGAGTAAGTCGGCGGCATGACTCACCGAAAATCTCTAATGGCAATTTGATAGACGAGTGATTAAGAAGGCTAATTGCCCTATGAAAATTAGCAATTTAGTGACAGCTCTTATCGTAACACCAAGCTAAGATTAGAAGATGAATCCCACGCGATCACGCACACAAACGCACTCTCGGGGGGTCGAATGAGAGCTGGCCTGCGCAGAGAGCAGCGCTCCAGGGGGTGAACTTGGAGAGTGTGATTGAGCAAGAGAGGGTGGGAGTTAAGTTGCTGTGCTGCTGCGTTGCTCTTTATCAAACCGAAACTCAAACGAAATAATCATGGCGGCCATGCATGTGCGGCGCCTCCTTTGTGTGGGAGAGAGCGAGAGCGGGCGAGTCACACCCTTGAACTTGCGAAAATTCATTGTCAACTATGCGGCGCTTTTCCAGGGACATCCGCGGGAGGGACTGCTATTTGCCGTATCCGTACTCACCTCAAATCCATTGGATTGGGCCCAGATGTTGCCATCGTGTCCGGCGATGCACGCCTTGGTCACGCACTGGGAGGCCAGGAGTTGGTTGTCCACATAATCTTGCCAGCTCATGGTGCTTTGTTTTTGGTGGTCGTGGGTGCGGATTAAGAGTAGATTGGTATTGGTTGTATATCGCTGGTTTACCGCACGGCGCGTCTCTTCTCTCTTTCGTTTCGGGGGTCACACGAAATTTGCAGGGAGACAAAGGAAAATCGCTAAGCTGACGATTTTTCTTTCTCGGGGTTACTAATTTCGAACTGCAACGAGAAGGGGGAGAGAGTGGTAGACATTTGTTAACATTTATCGTATTGAATCGCATAAATAGCCAATCGCTGCCCCCCGCTAATTTCGCAAACTGTACGCTCTTCGACAAAGCCGTCTCATTCTCTCTTGGGCTTTTCTGTACTTTGTTAGTATCGCTGATTACTGACTTTGTGACTTGGCTGGGCGATAAACTAAGCGCACACTTTGCACCAGCGACAAAGACGAATCGAATTTTATTCCTCCGAAAAACTCACATATACACACACACTATAGGCACAGCCACACGACACGAACAGGCGGCGAGGGGGTAGAGACCAAAGACTGAGACAGAAACAGGGACCGTCGTACGGCAGCTCCAACGACACGTCCGACTTGCACAAAGTGAGAAATTGAAATTGATTCAATTTAATTGAGGGATTGACGGTAGAGCTGGTCGGCGGCACTCGATATATCGATACACCGAGTGCTTCGATTCGATAGCGATTGTGAGCGCAAGTCCAAGCGAGTGGAGTGGTTTTTCTGCCTAGACCTTGTTGTTTTCTGCTTCCCACTGTCGGCCCCACTCCCTGGACCCAAAACTGATCGTCAAAGTTAGGCGAGAGCCCACTATCGATGGCTTCCGATAGCGATTGTTTGCCTGCTGGAAAAACCCGCTCAGAAACGCCGCAAGGCACTCAATCGTCTCTCTCACGGAGAGCGAGTGCAGCCCGTCTGGAGCGTGCGTGTGTGCGAGCGAGATGGGCGTGTGCGGCGAGCCGTTATTAATCTGCCGGCAGCGGACAATGCAAATGAGTGAGAGAGAGCAGACGATGACTCAACGGGTGTTGGTGAGTGTATTATGAATCGCCTTTCCTGGCCGGCACCGAGTGTCATAAATTAAAAATAGACCTTTATTTTCAACACCTATATGTGGGCGATTTTGCTTATAGCTCCCTGCTCCGCCGAATTTTTTCGCACAAACCGGCAGCGGCAGCCGAACTTTTCCCCACTTGACTTTTCGCACACACATATACACACACGGACGCGACGACGCAACGCCGCCGGACATGTGTGGGCTTTGATCCTCGCCTCATAGCGCAAATTCCGCGCACCAGTCGCCTTCATTTTCCAATTTACCCAACAGTTTGCCAATTCACTGAATCGCAGGATTTTTTTAAATTCCCACTTACACTGTTCAAGAAATCGTCGATGAAACTGAGTGACCGTATGCGGATTAAAATAATATCTGGATCAGTGTTGCCAGATGAAAATTTGGTTCGCCCCTAAAAAATCTCAAAAAGCCTAAAGACCCATTACAATTTTAGTATTTAAACCAATGAAATTAAACATTTATCCTTTGTTAGTAGTTATTTATTATAATAATTTATGCTTCGAAGAAGCCCCTAAAATGCCAGCAAAAAACCCTAAATCTAGGTGGTCCGCCCACCAACAACGTACTTACGTCAAACTAAGATTTTGTTCACTTACGTTTTTCGCTACGTAATGTTCACCCAAGTGTGCCCAGCTGCTCAGAAGGAGAAAGGTCACTTGAATGAATGAATTTAAAGAAAAATAAAGTTAATTTTCTTTAATTTAAGTAAATAGTAGTAAACTCTGTTACTCTCATTCTGGAAATTCCATAAATAAAATTCTGTTACTTTTATCACGGTGAACACAGTGACGTTCGAAATGGTGTGGATTTTTTAGGGCGAAATTTCAATTTTGGGGAAAACCAAACGTTCATCTGGCCGCACTGCGAGCCACCTCTTTTGCTTTTGGTTAACAAATCAGTAGCAGCACGTGTATAAAAAGTGCCAAAAAATTTTCAGAAAATGTTAGTATAACCATTAGATTAAGCGTCCGAAATGTGGAAAGCGGCTGGGCGAACCCGCGGCCCGTCGGCATCGATCGGTTTCAGGCGAATTGCAGTGTGCGGCAATAGAGAAAATTCGATTTGAAATTTCGGACGGTCGGAATATGTGAAACACAAAGGAAAAAATTACACGACGGCTGTCGCGAATGACAGACCGAGACGGGAAGTGAGAGCTGCGAGAGAGAGAGAGCGAGAGAGAGCGCGGTGGTTGATCCATTGGCGTTCTGCTGGGTGGATTTCGTACTTCGTCTGGAATACCAGAATGCAATGAATTAAGCGAATTTGCTGTCGATGACGAAGGCTCGCTCGGCGGCCATTTGCCTGCCGCTTGACTCATGATGACTGGACAAAGACTCGCCGGACACCTCAATGCCGTCGCCGATTCTATCTTTAGTAAATTGCTACATCTTTGGCAGCCGCCCCCTCCCCCGTAACGCGCCCCTCGCTCTCTCTAGCACGCGCACCTTAGGAAAATACGCCTGTCGGCTTGGTTTCTACTGCCATTTTCAACCGGCTACTGCCATTTTGCGACCTGCGGACGTTGAGCAATACTGGTACCGCAGTTACGTGCCTAGCCCATATCGCGCGACTGCTCTCGCAGCGGCAGCAACCACTGACATTGACAAACGCGACGCTAGGGTCGTCTCGCTCGCACACACGCTCAGGGGCGGGCCGCTCGCCGCTCAAAAGGCCGCCTAGCGGTCGTCGCAGCTCGCAGTCTCATTTCGTATTTTGTACGTGAAAACACAGCACAGCACAAACGTAACTGAAAGCAAAAACAGATTCGTCACCGACTGGCAGAAAAACAGAGCAGGGAACTCTCAAATTCTCCATTACTCATTTGTCTCACCGACAGCAGGAACAGAAATTGTTTGAGTGAACGGTGTTTAAGTCGTCGAAATTCCGGATATAAACCAATCTAGTCAATTTTTTATCGTTGATAATGTGAGTGCAGCTCCTGTTTCGCGGCCGACGGTTGCCAAGCGCCATTCGATGCGCTTCGACATAACCTAGAAATTGCGGCTGGAAAATTTCCAGCACTCCCTCCCTCCGGCTCTGGAGTCTTCATATTAATCCATTTTCCGTCTCGTTTTGCAGGGATGATCGAACTGAAATAGCTCAGGATGGTCCCGCCGGCATGGACCCCGAGGGTGTCATCGAGTCCACCTGGCATGAGGTGTACGACAACTTTGATGACATGAACTTGCGCGAGGAGCTGCTGCGCGGCATCTATGGCTACGGTTTCGAGAAGCCGTCGGCCATCCAGCAGCGCGCTATCATTCCTTGCGTGAAGGGTCGCGATGTCATTGCCCAGGCGCAGTCGGGTGAGTACGCTCTCAAATCCCCTTCCCTTTTTCCCGTCCCGAGGCGAATCTTTCGAGAATGTGCAAGAATTGATGACAAAAATATTTTGCTTAAACAAAAAGTGACATCGGTGACTCAGCGCTCTGCGTCTGAAATTTCTATCTTTGAGTTGCGCTTTGCGCTCTCTTTGCTCTGGCACTCTCTCTTCGTGTGTGCCTCTCTCTTGGCGTCTTTACGCTTGCGCGCCACTTTTCGCTGGCCAGCTGCGTTTTGTAGCGCGTTTTACGGCCGCCTGGACAGAAGAAGAAAGTTCCTAGAAAAAAATGTTGGTCAGACTTTCTACCTAGCTGTTTATGCCGGTTTCTTGCCAATTCTATCCCACTAGCTACCTAGAAAAACCGATCTCGTTTTGCGCTAATCCACTGCGAAGGATTTTGAAAAGGGACAAACCGAAAATAAACACAAAGAAGAGGAGAGAAAAATAATCACCCTTGTTAAAGTCTGCCTGCAACACCTGCAGATACAGAAAGAATTGTTCTCGGAACATGCTAGCGTGAAAGAGATAGCTATCTCTTATGCTTAGCTGAATTCTGCCAACATAATTATGTAGATAACTAATTTCTATATCTTCATTGCTCTGTCACAGGAACTGGCAAGACTGCCACCTTCTCGATCGCCATCCTTCAGCAGATCGATACGTCCATTCGCGAGTGCCAGGCCCTGATCCTGGCCCCCACTCGCGAGCTGGCCACGCAGATCCAGCGCGTGGTAATGGCGCTCGGTGAGTACATGAAGGTGCATTCGCACGCCTGTATCGGCGGCACCAATGTGCGAGAGGATGCCCGCATTCTGGAGTCCGGATGCCACGTTGTTGTGGGCACTCCCGGTCGCGTCTACGACATGATCAATCGTAAGGTGCTGCGCACTCAGTACATCAAGCTCTTTGTCCTGGACGAGGCTGATGAGATGTTGTCCCGTGGCTTCAAGGATCAGATCCAGGATGTGTTCAAGATGCTGCCACCAGATGTGCAGGTTATTCTGCTGTCCGCCACCATGCCACCGGACGTGCTTGAGGTGAGCCGTTGCTTCATGCGCGAGCCAGTTAGCATCCTGGTGAAGAAGGAAGAGCTGACCCTCGAGGGTATCAAGCAGTTCTACGTGAACGTGAAGCAGGAGAACTGGAAGTTGGGCACATTGTGCGATCTGTACGATACGCTGTCCATTACCCAGTCGGTTATCTTCTGCAACACCCGTCGCAAGGTTTGTTTATCTCTGTGCCCCTGTTGAAAGGTGGTTCAACATCGCCCAGATGCTCAGATTCTAAGCTGAAATGTTATTTTCCAGGTGGACCAGCTGACCCAAGAGATGTCGAGCCACAACTTCACCGTCTCGGCTATGCACGGCGACATGGAGCAGCGTGATCGCGAGGTTATCATGAAACAATTCCGTTCAGGCTCTTCTCGTGTCCTGATTACCACTGATTTACTGGCGCGCGGTATTGATGTGCAGCAAGTGTCGCTGGTCATTAACTATGACCTGCCCTCGAACCGTGAGAACTACATTCATAGGTAAGTTGGCCCATCAATATCTTTGACCAAGCAGTGCCTAACGAAAAATGTGTCTCCTCTCAGAATTGGTCGCGGTGGTCGTTTCGGTCGCAAGGGTGTTGCGATCAATTTCATTACAGACGATGATCGACGAATCCTTAAGGATATTGAACAATTCTATCACACAACCATCGAGGAGATGCCTGCTAATATTGCCGATTTGATTTAGATCATTTTTCTGTTGAGCCGCAAAAACAACTAAGAAATAAAATTCTAAATAAAAAAAGTGAGTGAGCAAAAAAAACAGCAAACCAAGCAAGCAACTGCGGAAAATCGATAACAACCGAGCGCAAAAAATTAATAAAGTTAAATATTTATTATTCAACCAACAATTCAAAAAGGCAGCAAAGCAGAGCAACAACCAATCAACGATCAAGGACTAGACACTGATACATCGCTGGCATTAACAACAGAGCAGCAACAGCGGCAACTCCATCATCAACCAATCATGGCATCAACATCTTGCGAATGCTGGGGCAACGAACATCTCGCCAAAGGCCCGCAAAGAAGACCATGTAACCATTTAGTCCTTCCTTGTGTAACATCAATTTTAAAACTGCGTCGTCAACCAGCAACAACAAATATATACAAATATATAAAAAAACCATTTGCATCTATCTAAAAAGAGAATATTTAAAGAAGAAACAGATTCAAGGCACCACTCGCTAAAACGGGCTAACAACTAAACGCAAAAGCCACAACATCTTTTTGCAACACCTTTGTTTTAGCGCTTTTTCTAGAACTATTGATAAAAAAAAATATATTAAAAACAATACAAAAATACATATGTACACACTATGTTTAAATATTCCAAGCCTAAGAAACAGAAACTACCAGACACTTCCACATCGCCAAAACATATACATAGAGATCAATGTGTCAGCTGTAGTCTATATAGTCTATATTTTATAAGACATAATGGAGGAGGTGCGGCTGTGCGATTTGGGTATTTGCCAGCAAAGTTAGAAATATTTGCAAAGAAATTATTTTTGTTTTCAACTCTAACTTAGGGACTGTCATTACAGTAAAAAAAAGCTATGTAACGGAGGATCATTGAAGGTCTTTGAAGATTAAGTAATTCTGATGGTACTGGTGCCGATGTTACAAAGGAGTAAGGAGTTCAAATCGATCACTTTTTCACCTTTGGTAACTTCTTACAGGTAAGTTATGGTACCGCCACAAAGATGCACATTTTGGTAATATATTCTTTTGGTGAATAAAAAAAGGATTCAATTTATCCAACCGAAAACAAATTAAATAAATGATAAAATTATTTAAGATTGGAGATCCTCTCATAACACAATTAACAGTATCAAATCCACATTTTTTTGTAATTCACTTGCTATTTTTATTATGTATGTACATACAATACACCATACATAGCGCTCACACAGTTTTCAGCTTTATAAATAGCACTTATCAGTTCGTCGGAAGCTTGACGACATTTCGGAAGTCGCGCTTGGTACCGAGGGAATCAGTTGATAAGAGACTTTCACCTTCATTGGTCTTATATATAAACACTCAGTTTCAATGTTTAAGTGTGGAACTTATATTTTCTTGGTCGTCTGGAGTCTGAGAAATGTATCCTTGGCGGAGGAGAGCCTTCGGTTCGGCTACGTATGCCTCCTAGACGAACCTAATCCCAATCACTGCGACAGTTTCTGCCTCAACACATTGCTACCCCTGCTTAGCCAAATTGCCCAGGGCCAGGAACAAGAGAACAGCCTTAAAACTGAAACCAAGGAAAGCCTGGACCTAATGAAGAGTCAGCAAACCAAGATCGAAGACCAACTGCGTTCCCACATGGAAAGTCAACTTAAGGTGCAGGCTAAACTGGAAGCAGATTTGCTGGAGTTACAGACTAAGCTAGATGGCAAACTGCAAACGGTACAGACCGCAATGGAAAACCGACTTCAAGCGATGCAGACCAATTTGGAAGGCCAACTTCAAGCGATTATGGCCAAGATGAATGAGTCTATAGTTGATGTCGCTGATCGCGATTTGAATAAAGTACCATCTGATTTTAAGCGGATCGGTTCTAGATATTTTCGTGTCATTGAAAAGGCCCAGGATTGGACTACAGCTGGCAAAACCTGCCAAACCATGAAAGGTTATTTGGCGTCTATTCAAAACGAAGATGAACTCACCGCCATCAGTGCGAATCTTAAGAATTTTGCATGCTACTGGCTGGGTATCAATGATCGCTACAATGAGGGCCACTACGTCTCCGTGGCCTCCAACAGGAAAGCTGAGATTTTAAAGTGGAAGGAAGGAGAACCAAATGACAAAAGCCATGAGGAGAACTGTGTCTTGTTGATTGATGGCAAAATGGCGGACTACCATTGCAATGCTTCATGTTCCTTTATTTGCCAGGCGGACAATAAAATTTAGTAAAATTTTATTTACAAGTTTTTGGGGGGTATAAATTTATAAAGTTTTTTTTTTTATAGAATTAATAATTTATAATTTTAATATTTTATAGTTTATTTATTTATTTATTTAAAATATTTTATTTATTACTTATGCTTAGAATTAGCAATTATTAAAAATTGTTTTATAATTGAGTCTTAATTTTATTTAAAAAAAATGTTTTATTTTGTATATGCATGTAAAATAGAATATTTAAACATTTTTCTGGTTTCTGGAAACATAGGCCTTTTTTTAAGGTGAAGTTTTATTTTTTATTTATCTATATACAATTTAAGGAAAATAGTTATGTGGACGAATGGAAAACCTGGTAAACACACTGATAGGGCTGCTAAAAATAGTATATTAGCAAATATTAAAAACTACAAAACAGAAAAGGTGTAAAATTTTAAATTTAATCGATGATACAGCAGTTCGATATCGATAGTATATCGATGTCTTTGCAGCCCTGCTAGTGTTTAATAGCTGCCGGTTCGGTATGTCAACGCGCTGACATCGACAGACTTCTTCCGTAAACAGTTGAATCCAATCCTTGCCTCCGCGATGGGTCAAAAAGTGTCGCGCAATGACTTCGAGTGGGTGTACACGGAGGAGCCGCACGCCTCGCGGCGCAAGATCATCCTGGAAAAGTACCCGCAGATTAAGAAGCTCTTCGGGCACGACCCCAACTTCAAATGGGTTGCCGGAGCGATGGTGCTCACCCAGATCCTGGCGCTGTTCGTCGTGAAGGACCTGTCGTGGTCGTGGCTGCTGTTGGCCGCCTACTGCTTCGGCGGAATCATCAACCACTCGCTGATGCTGGCTGTGCACGAGATCTCCCACAACCTGGCGTTTGGCCACAGCCGCCCGATGCACAACCGTATCCTGGGCTTCATTTGCAACCTGCCCATCGGCCTGCCCATGAGCATTTCGTTCAAGAAGTACCACCTGGAACATCACCGGTACGTGACATTGGACGGTGGGAATCCATACGATTCCATGACGTTTTCGTGGAACTGGCGCGCACACATGAGCATTTGTTATTGTTGGGGCGTAGTCAGCCGCTCAGTAAACTGTGAAAATAGCCCCTTCCGCCGGCCGCCCTGCCCTGCCCATCCCCTTTATCGTCCAATTTATCCATTATAGCGCGTGTGGCGCGCGTTGCCCAACACTATCCCCGTTCCGTCCGCACCTTGATAAGCCCATGAGTCAATTTTCCATTCCTCTCCACTCCACCCACCGTTCGTGGAATGGTTTGGTTTGCTCTTGGTCATCGAGTGCGTCTGAATTGGTCCGATAAGATTACTCCCGCTAGAATTTATGGCCTATAGTAATATGCATATACAGTATGTCGAATTCCGGCAGCTTTCTTTTATTGGTCACGTAGCTCACTCAAGAGCCGGTTGAGTTGAGTCACTTTGTTATCGAAAACTCATTTTGCAAAAGTCCCCAATTGAATTATACCGGAAAAACAAAATCAAAAACTATATATACTTTTCCCAGCAATATGATGTTTATGTTTACAGTCACCCTCATTCACCTAAAGTGTAGTCTAGATAAGAACTTATCTAATCGCCCAGGTGCGATCGTTGTGGATCGTTGAATGTCGCTCAACAACAGTTAGTATACATAAAAAGTAAGCAGGTTCGAGATTGGCTTAATCCCTGTTCTTTTGCTTTGTCAAAGCCTATGATTTTTGTTACTTGAGTGTGTTTTTTAAGGGGAAATTCTGAATTTATCAGGGCTTATAGAACTGAGGATGCAAACATCGCAGCATCAATCTTTTTAAAACTTTTGAAGCTTGTTAGTTTTTGTATTTAAATTAGAATTATAATGTCTTTTGTATATTTCTGTATCAAATCGCTAATTACGATATTTGTCTTTCCTTTACAGTTACCAAGGTGACGAGACTATAGACACGGACATACCCACACTGCTGGAGGCGCGCCTGTTTGACACGACATTCGGAAAGTTCCTGTGGGTGTGCCTGCAGCCGTTCTTTTACATTTTCCGTCCATTGGTGATAAATCCAAAGCCACCGACGCGCCTGGAAATCGTGAACACCGTGGTGCAGTTGACGTTTAATGCGTTGGTCGTTTACTTTTTGGGCTGGAAGCCTTTGGCCTACTTGCTGATCGGCAGCATTCTGGCAATGGGTCTTCATCCGGTGGCCGGGCACTTCATCTCGGAGCATTATATGTTCGCCAAGGGCTTCGAGACGTATTCCTACTACGGCCCATTGAACTGGATCACATTCAATGTGGGATACCATAACGAGCACCACGACTTCCCGGCGGTGCCCGGCTCTCGTCTGCCGGAGGTGAAGCGCATTGCCAAAGAATTCTATGAAACAATGCCCCAGCACACAAGCTGGACTCGTGTTTTGTACGACTTTATCATGGACCCAGCTGTGGGCCCTTATGCCCGCGTAAAGCGTCGCCAGCGCGGCTTGGCGTCTTAGGTGATTGGATGAGGATGATATGATGATATTTCAAGGTTTCCTGGCACGAATGCAATCTCAGCGTTTGACATAAAGCGACCCTATACATGTATATTGTAGACACATTTACCACGTGAGGAGTATCGGAATAGAAGTGGACACCTGCTAATCTCCAAAGACGACGATTAGATAAAGACGGCACTCAGAGACTCGCAGCGTTTGATTTGAGCAATTGCGTGTATATATATATATATTATCTGGTATTAATGCTAGACTGTGAGCTTAGTTTGGATCGGTGGCCTGACTAAGGGAACATTTTCGAGCGCTTTAATTAATTGTTACCTCATAAGTTGAAAAGCCTATTAAATCTAGTGTGTAAACAACTTGTCCTATTATACTATTGAGCTAGATTTTTCGATACATGTATTTATATTGCTTTCAAGAACATAAATGTAACGTCACTGCTCTATGCGTTTTCTTTCATTTTATGTATCCTCTGGCAGCTTCTTTTCTTGGACAGAACTGTTTCAGCTAAATAATATGGCAATGAGTCTCCCCCCGACAGGTGATACATCTGTTTAAAGCACGTGAAGTGATTCGCTTATGGCAATTGAGTTGCGTGCCGCACGTCATGTGGAAATGTTGGATGTAAACGTAGCCAATCAACTGATAATTATAATCGTTTCGATAAGCCCCTATCGAATGGCACAGAAATGCGGTTATATGACTGCTGTTGCAAGATAACTAGTGGACCTTGAAAATAAACTATTAGATGTGCACACGTTTCTACAGCAGAGTTTTATACAATTTGTAGTAACGAAACGGCTAAGGGTAGTTTAAATAATTAATTATCTCACATAATAACACCACATTTTATCAATTTTGTTCTTAATTTTTGGTTAAAATATATTTAAAAGATTTGGAGTTTTAGGGATTCTCCCGAATCCCCTCCAAAAAAAGTTGAATGCATCCTAACTATCCACAGAATTACCAGATATAAAAAATTCATCAATCCCAAAGCTGACTTAAGGCTCGGCTACCAATTTGTAAATAACCCGACTATCTATTCCATTTGCAATTTAAGATAATAGCCCGAATGACTTGTCTGTTATCAGTCTAATATATTTTTATGACCAGGTGTTAATAGGAACACACCTGTGCCGGTAAGTGGACACAAATGAGTAATGACTTTAAACTGTGGTTTGGTGTTTCCCGCAAATATGGGTTACTTATTCAGAGATCTTTGGTGCTCTTCGTAGTCAAAATTATGCCCGATTTACCTTTAGCTGTTCAAATAAAAACCCCTTTATGGTTTAATGCTATTTATATATAATTTATTTATATTGTAGAATTACATATTTTGTGGGGGAAGGTGTGTCGTGAAGGTTAATGTTTCTTTTTTTGACCTTTTTATTTGATTTTTATTTTCTTGGGACTATTCATTGAAATCATCGTACATTACGGACTTAAAGAAATTAAAGTGTTAATCCTTAATATGTTTAGGGCTCTGTTTTTGTCGTTTTTTTTTTATTTATTTTATTTTCTTTTTTTTCTGTTACCGATTATCTTGGGTTGTCACTTGTTTAGTTATTATACACATTAAAAAACGATTTTACAAAGTGTTTTTCGCTCTTTTGCTTTCATAACTTTAAGCCTTGCTGGTTTTTGTTGTACGTTAATATTTTACCAAGATGTTTTGCCATTTTTTTGTATTTTTTATAAATTTATTTATTACTTCCAAGTTAGGGTTCTAGTCAGCTTACTAATTATAAATTAAAAATTATACATTTTTCATTGTATTTTGTAAATGTAAACTTAGCTTTAAACTGCATTTTATATGTATGTATGATCGTGTTTTATTAACAGGGTTTTTCCTTGGGTTTTTCTTTTTTTTTTATTTATTGTGGGTTGGTTTTATGCTACACTTTGAAATCGATCGTTTTCAAATAAACATTAGGACATACAAAGAAATGTGGCGCCACGCGTAAATTATTGGAAGAATGCGTTAATTTGTTCAAGAAAACAAAAAATGTACATAGGTAAAAACAAGAGTTTGGGGAACTTTAAATAGAATGGGGAAAAAATTCATAGCTGCGCGCGCATTAAATGAAACTCAAGCCGAACACAAAAAGGGAATTAAATTAACAAAAACTAAGAGTAGCAGGTAAATGGTAAGTTTTAAATAATAATAATAATAATAAAACGTTTAACGAACGTAAAACTGCTGAAATTGTACAATAAAACAAATATTTTTTTGTTCTTTACGTTTCTGCTTTTTTCTCCAGTTTCTCACTTAAACTATGTTTTTTCTTCTATGCAAAAATTCTTATTACCTTTCTCGTTCGGCTCTTTGTATTTTCCTTTCTTTGTTGTTGTGTTTTTAGTTTTGAAGAGTGTGTGTGTGTGTGTGTTTTACGTTTTCGGCTGCGTAAATATATATAGCTAGATAATGGTAAATATATGTACTACAAAAACGTTCAAGTGACTTTTACTAAACTTTCATCGTTTTGTCTGCAAGTTTTTTTTTTTGTGTTTGTTTTCCCTCTTTTCTTTTTAGTTGT